TGCGGATACAAAAATTTCCGGATACGTGTGGACGGGGCCTTAGAAAGCACATTGACAGAAGGCGTCCCTTTGAAACGCGTGAAGGAGTGTGGAGTAGCGAGATTTACAAAGATAACAACATCCCACTAATATTCATGTCTCAGAATAAATTCATTGACACTAATGCAAACTTATTTCCTACTTATCAATTATCGATCGCAAGTCAAATGTCACGAATTAATCGAAGTTACAATCTTCGTAATCCAACACGTTAGCTCACTTTTCTTCAAGAAAACTAATCTTAGAAGATAATTGGAAGCGGTTTTACTGGCGATAATGTAATCGGTTAAATAAGCGCTAAATCTTCTCTATCGTCTCATTAGCCCAGTATTGACCTTGTCATGAAAATACTAAATGGCCGGCAGTTTCATTTTCTCAGGATTTTTCCTCTACTATATTTCAATTTGACGGATTTGGGTAGACAGAAATAGGTTTCTCAAAAATAGAAAAGTTTCACTATTCTATATTCTATTATTTAAAAAATCAAAAAAAAAAAAAAGGAGCAAAAGCGTGAGTAGGTATAATAATTAGGTCACCCATCCAAGTGGTAACCCTTTTCGACGAGCTTGACCCAGTATCTTGAATGACAACGATTTCTCCACTGGACCACGGTTCCAGGTGAATCCGCATAACAATAGCCGTGAAAACAACGCACCGAATAGACTAGACTTTTTAACATTAATCTTTCAACCGATTCCGTGCGTGGCAGAGATGCAAGGGATTAGCCGACATGGTCTGGGGGCCGGCTGGTCTCTCCCCTGATGCTTYGGCTAGAACATTTTCTTGCGTAATTCGTACACCCAAGGGCAGAAGGATTTAATCGCCGTCAGGTCCGAAGTCCATACGCCGCCTCAGCTCTGCGGATGTCTCGGGGGTATGGCACAGTGGAATCGATTTTTTTTATTCTCTCATTGGGTTCGAACCCCATTGCATCCAGATAACATTTTTCTTTTTCTTTCTTTCTTTTTTTTTTTTTTTCTTCTTTTAATCCATTTTTTATTAGATTAAAATCTTCCATGCTTTTTAATAAAAAAAGGTTTATTCCTAGTCGATCAGACATTATCAGTCATACAATCATAATCGATTTGCGAAAATTCAATTATCTTTTGGCTGACATTGCAAACGTCTTCCGCTGTACTAGGCCTCTGTGCATGATACAGGCAACCCAGTGAACGCCTATAGGGCGTCTTGTTTTAATCAACTTAGGCTCAAAAAATAGGAATGAGACCTCCTTTCAATACTGACTAGTATAGTACTCAGTTTTTTAAAGTTAGTAGAGTCATTTACTATTTAAATTTAATGCATAAATGCATAAACAACCAAGCCCCTGAATATCTTTCAAATTTGTTTAATTTGCTATCGGAAACGACATCACACAATCTTAGAGACTCAACATCGAAACTTTTTATCAAAAGATTTAATACTGAATATGGAATGGGGAAAGAGGAGTTTAACTTACAAGGGTTCTAAGCTATGGAACAATTTTCCTCATACTGCTGGAAATCAAGCAAGTTTTACATCTTTTAAAAATGCTGTTTTAGCAGATTTCATCTCAACTAGCAAGCTCTGACCTTACCTCTAGTTTTTCTGATATTTTTATTTTATTAATATTCAATATTATACATTAATATTATATCTTAGTTACTTGTCTTAGTTATATATATTTACGACTGTCATGTAAACCACTTTTTCTGTTGGTATTATCGTGTATAAATACTGAAAGGATGATTAATTGATTGATTGAAACACCAAAATGAAAAAATACATCATTTGTAAAGATTAGTTGATTTATAACACACTCAATACACTATGAAAACGAGGCTTATGTGTGTGCTGCAACAAAACGTGCAATTAGTTTTACCAGAGCAGAATAGTAAATGTCTTACTGAGCATTAAAGCTTCATAGTCATTTCACTTCTTGAATCTCAAATTGGTTTGAAAATAGGCTTTGTGGGACTTGTAGAAGTATCACATCTCTATAGAAACGGGGTTTAGGGAGTTGGATACAGATCGTCAGATAATGATAAAAGATTTGTAAGAATAGTTGAAAATAAGCTTTTGTGGGACTCGTAGAAATATCACATCCCTATAGAAACGGGGTTTAGAGAGTTGGATACAGATCGTCAGATAATGATAAAAGATTTGTAAGAAATGTCGATTAATTCCTTAACACTTAATTCGACTTAAAGTATCACATCTCCTTAGCAACGACATGTGTTTAGAGCTCCCTTAACTACCTTGAACAGGATATCGAGAGAGCCTGGGTGTCGTGTTTCAGTTTACCAAGATGGCGGACGCTATGGAGAATGTTTCACTTTTTGTCTTCTTGCTCGCAGTTTCCTTAGGCATTTTACTCAACTTCCAATCTATCCAACCCGAACCTTACATGGATGAACAATTTCACATCCCCCAGGCCCAAAAATACTGTCAATACAAGTTCAACGAATGGGATCCAATGATAACAACTTTGCCAGGACTGTATTTGGTGTCCTTCGTCCTACTTCAAATAACCGCCTTTTTTACGAGAATCAAGCTTATCGTAATTTGTTCGGCCTTTTGGCTACGGTTTACCAATGTCCTATTTATGATGGGAAATGCTTTGGTACTACGGAAATTGCTCTTAAAAATTCATGAGGAAACAGAAGTTCAAAAGAGTGTGAAGGTAAGATAAGCTCTTGCCAAGAAAACCAAATTTCTTTATCTTTAAACATAATATAAATATTGCTCTAAGTTCTGTTTGGATAACTGTAAGGTAAACAACGCCTTCTTTTGTTTCCAACTCTAAAGAACCGTCCAAGGATTTAGCTTCTGCCACGTGTTTTGTGTAATAATTTGAGCTTGTAAATGAATTCACGACTGTACTATGAATTATGTTTACTAACAAATTAATTAAGCTTCTCTTGGTAATTGGGTCTATACATTTGTACCCCCACTGTGTTATTAACTTAAGATATTTTGTGTTTATTCCCAACACACCCCATAGCATGCCACTCCAACGTATAAGTTACCCTTAGTGAGCACCATACAAAGCTTCATTTAGAGTTCAACTCAATTATCCCCAAAATTATTCAATTAAAGCTTTAGAAATCATAATTGGGTCACTGAGGAAGGCAATTTGTGCATAAAAATTAACAAAGAATATAATAATAGTCGTGAGATAGCTGCAATATAAGGAACAAATGTTTTACTTACTTCGTGTTGGGTAACCTGTAAGCAGATAGCAGTACAAAGAGTTACCCTTGGTATTTCACACAACTTTATCCCTGTAATGTGATAGGGAGACCATTTATGACCTTACGTTGAGAGATGTCATAATTGATGAAGACTTGAGGATTTCTGACTGGTTCTAATTCATCTATATCTTGACCTCCTAATGTTCAGAAACACCAGAGTCTAAAATGTACAAGTATCATTCTGGATTGAGCAAAGAAAGATTTACCTGTTAATTTGTCTCCTTCTTAATAGGTCTTCATCAAAATTTACTATAGTTTTAAGTCTGCTTATGACATCTAGTAAATGTTCCTACACCCAGTCAATTTTGTTGAGTTCTTTTGTTAAGCCTCACAGTTTTTTAAATGAAATCTTGATAATGGAGTACATGAACACTAAGGGTGTGTGCAGCTTAAATAATACTAAACAGTACTACATTATGCTAATTCTATTATTTAGTTAGTGCTATTTAGTGCTAAATATTATTCATTGCTAAGTATTGCATGCTTTTAGCATTCGTACTCTATTAATGGGTTTCACGTGAGGTCATTTCCTGTCTCAAGCAGAATAATGTTTATCAGCTCAATCACAAGTTTTCAGTAGAATTCTTTCTGGCTGACAACACATGGTGGTCAGTGTTTGACCACCATTTGGAGCAGATAATGAGATTCAAAGACTTTTATCAGCTGAATGAAGCTCAGCAATTATGGCAATTATAAATGATTTTCCTGTTATTTTCAAGAACTTTAAAAGGTGCATAATGTATTTCCTTGACTTAAAAAGATCCCAAACAAATTCATCAATATATATTTCAACTTTTTTTTTGCTGTCCAACATTGTAAGATGTTTGAAACATGTTTTAATTTTCAATTTTCAATTAAAACATTCCAAGCATTGTTTTGTCGATTAACAACAATTGTTTCAGTTACAGCCACATAAGAAGACAATATTTTAGCTCTGGAATTTTCACAAAAGCAACGTCTTCTTGCAAAACAATTTCTTCTTGATTTTTGGTTTGGCTTAGTCTGCACAAATAATTTACAGACAAATTATTAGTTCAGGTGAAGTTGATATACCTTTATCTAATAACTAAACTTACATGACATGGGCGTGATCATACCGTTACAGTATGTATTCTAGTGTGAGGCATATTGTCCCAGAAAATATCTATACTTAACAAAGTGGGACTGCACCTTCCTAGGGTGGGAAGGGTCTGATGAGGGTATACATGTACCAGGAAAACTCCCTCCCCACCCCCACCCCCACCCCCCCTCCCACACACACGCACACACACTCTTAGATAAGTGTTGAAATTCCAAAGGACTAGGGTGGATATGATGAGCGTATATTGTGCAGTTCAAGGAAATATTGGTACTAGCAACCCCCATAGAGGATTATTGAAATCCAAAAGGACTGAAGTGGATATACGACCACAACAATAACAACAACTACAACAACATTAACAACATTTTATTGGCTCCATATAATATGTGTAGTTACAGGGAATCTCCATACCCCATTCCCAACCCCACCCCACACCTACACCCACCCCCCATTAGAGGAGCATTGAAATCCCAAAGGACCTGTGAGGGTCTGCGAGTTGAGAGTATATTTTGTATTTAAAGAATATTTTTCTCTCAACAGGATAAGACAACATCCTCTGATGCCCAAAGACAAATTTCATCCAAGTGTACATTCACTGCCATAAACATTAGTATTCTTCCAGTCTTATACTTCTTCACATTCCTGTACTATACAGATGTTGGGTCTACATTCTTTGTCTTGCTGATGTATCTCTTAAGCCTGTATGAACGACACACCTTGGCATCCTTGGCTGGTGCATATTCCATTATATTTAGACAGACCAACATAATATGGGTCATATTTGTTGCTGGTACGACTGCCATACGAACTCTCCGCCCACAAGTCACCAAACTCGTAACAGACAACCATAACATACCAGAACCGTTTTATTTTCTTTATTCGTTTTTTAACAACATCGTTCTCATGATTCGTACTCTTTATTCCTATGGCCTGATTGTCGTAGGTTTCATTTGGTTTGTCATTGTTAACAAAGGGGTAGTTGTCGGAGACCGAAGCAGTCATGAAGCATGTTTAAATTTCCCCCAAATATTTTATTTCTTGAGTTTCAGTTTATTTTTTAGTAGCCCTATTCTATTGCTGTTTGATAATGTCCTTGAATTCCTCACATTCCTGCGGAAAACCCTATCAAAACCGTTGCGAATTCTAGTAATATTCTCAGCTTTGCTATTAGCAATTGGCTTGGTACATCAGTTCACTTATGTCCATAAGTACTTACTAGCTGATAACCGCCATTGCGTGTTCTATGTTTGGCATAAGATATATTCTAGGCATTGGTCAATAAGGTACCTACTTATCCCTTTATATTTCTATGCGGCATGGGCAATGTACACCAAATTATCTTCTAAACAATGTTTCACATGGCAATTACTGTTTTGGATTTGCGTGACTTTGTTGACTGCCCCACAAAAGTTGTTAGAATTTCGGTATTTTATTCATCCTTATATAATGTATAGAGTTCATATTCCTTTTACTTCCTACTCCAGAATGATTATGGAGTTCATCTTATATCTGAGTATTGATGCCGTTACTATACATCTATTCTTGAATAAGCCCTTCTACTGGTCACATGACCCTAATGTGCCTCAAAGGTTCATGTGGTAATTTTTGTGAAGATTTTGTGAATTTTGAAGAATTTGTGAATTTTGAAAAATTCGTGAATCTTGTCAAAGAATTTGTGAATTTTGAAGAATTTGCAAATTTTGTTACAAATATAGATAGAAAAAAAACAGAGATATATAACATATTAGTCTATACCTAGTGATGGTTTATCACAAATCCTGCACTCTGATTGGCTGAGCCAAAACAATGCTGGCCAACTCTTGTTTTAAACCCTAATTTCAAAAAAAAACAACATTTATTTGAGCAATTAGTAGGTTTCAACTAAAACAATTAGTCCTCTAGCTTTCATGATCTACAAGTCAATAGCTATTACTGCCATTCTACTCTAACCATGAACACTCAAGTTTATTGTATTTTATGTTTTATTTGTATAAATATACTTTTAGTTTTTCTTTCTCATTCATCATTTTATCTCCTTAGATTTTTATGGACTTTCAATACATGTAACTCGAATTCCATTGTTTTCAATTTGTAATTTGATTGGTTGACAAACTCAAGTGTTCAAGGTTAGAGTAGAACGACATTAACTCATAAAACATTTTGGCTTTGGGTCTAAATTTCRATTATGTAGACCCCTAAGAGACAATCTTTGATGTGAGGCAGGCATAAAAATACAATAGTTATACTATAAATTCTTGATGGAATTTATTATATTTTAATGTTAACTCTCTTCAAGTTAATTCTGAGTGAGGTCTATCAAAAAATGAATGTAGTCACGAGAGCTACTAAAAGTTTTTTTTGAGGACTAAAAATACGTTAGAATTCATTGGTTATGATGACATATTTAATTTAAGATTTATCTATGTAATGTCAATTAAATTCCATGTTAAACAATAAAGATTAATTGAAAATCACTCCAACAAGCATATTGTTGAAGAAATAGAAAACGCGAACGCGTGCWGTGTGCTGTCATAAAGCACGCGGGGGTTGGCAGAACACGAGAGAAGTGTTAGTGTCGACACTTCTCGAGTGTTCTGCCAACCCCCAAGTGCTTTATGACTGCACACAGCACAGCAAGCAAGTTTTTTATTTCTTTTATAAAATACAAATTACAATAATAGATAGGAATGACGCAACGGAAAGTGCGCGTGCAATGTGCTCTCATAAAGCACGCGCTCCAAACCAATCAGAATGCGACATTCATAACAGTTATTTTATAAAAGCCAATAGAGATAATGTAGAAATGAATGAAAAGATGGGAATGATGATGAAACATTTTTTATTAACGTATCCAGATTGCATGAAATTTTCACCGAGAGCTTTGGGCTTCCTGTGGTTTTCATGTTAATGTTTCGATTCCGAGAATCGCAGAACTTCGAGCGTTCAGCTTCCTGGAAGATGCGATGAAATTTCTGCTCGAAGATGTCGCTATATATACAGATAAAAAGATGAAGAATAAGAGGTAAACCCGAATACTTTCTGAATGAAACTCGTTTCCAAAGAACTACCTAGTAAGCAGTCAAAATTTTAGTCAAAAAGTAAAAGATTATTTCACTTGGAAAATCTTGAAATTGAGAAACGTCGTTTGTAGTTTGCACTGATGCATCGTGCATGGATTCGGTTTGAATGTTTTTCGTATATCGATCTTATAAAGAATGCCTAAGCTATATTTAGTTTACTGTAAAGCCTTTATCTCAATAGACAGCAATTTAGGAATCTCATCATGTACATCAAAAGTTAACTTTTCTCAGTTTTTCAGTTTCCTTGGTGTTCAAATGGCAGCCTGCCGTGAGAGAAGTTTTCTTTCTGGACCCGGCGCTTGTACGAAGCCTGGATAACGCTATCCGGTGAATAAATCCTTATCCAGTGGATATAAGTCGATGCTATTATCCAATAAATATTTCCACTGGATAAAGATTTATCCACCGGATAGCGCTATCCAGGCTTCGTACAAGCGGGGCCTGCTCAATAATTTTCTACGGTGATGTTTTGCTTTATCCGGTGTATTATGTTATTTCGTTATGATTAGTTTCACATCCTTGTCAATGTCAGATCGTGCTCACTCGCTTGTGAGAAGAACAGCGGGTCCACTCTGTCGCTGCAAGCGAAAGCTTTTTAAAACGAAAAACGAAATATAGGAATAATATACTAGTAATTTTGAAACGTTTTTACGGAAATAAAGGAAAAAGTAAAAAGCTTATATGTAATAAACGCTTTCCTTTATTTCAGCAAAAATGTTTCAAAGTCTTCTCATTATAATTTATTTATATAAAATTATTTATTTTAGGTCCAACTGAACTTTTAATACCCCAGTCAAAGTAAACTTTTTTAACTCCTTTTATGCACCGAGAAAATGTCATTGCGTTTTTTAATATTTATTTTTGATATGAGGAATAGTTTATCACAGGGACTTGAATTTTGGTCTGCACTAGGAATGAGAAATAAAATTTATGGACATGGAATTTTTTCAAGGCTGATAACTATAGGACTGGGAATGGAAAACATAATACCTATATGGGATTTCTCCAAGGTTCATCACTAGGACCATTATTTAAACCACTGGATAGGACTAGTATTTAAACCACCAAGATAGGATTTCTCAAAGATTCATCTCTGAGCTGGACTCGATTAAGGTCACTGGGAATGGGAAATTGTATCATTTAAGGTGGGATTCCCCCAAGGTTCATCACTGGGACCAGGATTTAGGTCACTGGGAATAGAAAATAGAATCACAAGCATGGGATTCCCCCAAGGTTCATCACTGGGACCGGGATAAGTAACTGGGAATGAGAAATAGAATCATTAGCTTAGGGATTTCTCCAAGGTTCATCTCTGGGACCAGATGCTTGGCAAACTTTAGATTGGAAAATAAGATTCGTTTCTTAAGTATCGGGATTCCCTTTAACACCCATATTATAAATATTTCAATAACGTATTGAATTCTTATGTTTCCCAAAGGTTGGTGTACTGTTTGAATAAAGCTCATATAACTTGAGGAAAACATGGCGTGCAGTTATCCACACAAATGGACACTACACTGCAGAAAGTGCAAGACTCAATTAGCATCAAACAACATCCTTGTCCTTGGCATTGTACCGCCATCCCAACACCATTTGGCGGTCAAACCAGGAAGAGAAAAAGACGTTCAAGACTATGTGAGAAAAGTAGAAAGACACGAAGAGAACGCTAGGAGAGCGATGATGTCCAAGTATAAGTTGCTCTGTCAAAGCTGCGACGCCAAAGTTGGAGGAGAAGAGGTGATAGAGGGGGAAGAAACTCTTTGTTTTAAGGCAGAAGCGATCTTTATTAAAGATCGCTACGGCAGGGAAATCAAGGAAAACAAGCTCAAAAAACTTGTACCCGAGCTAAAAGCGTGTGGGATTGAAGAAATGAAACTTGTTTCAGTCCAAAAAGTAAACCCGAGCTTTGTCATTAACAGACAGCCACCAATCCCCCTAATATATTGTGATGTTTCCTTGATGTCCCGCGAAGAAATCAATTCTTTAACGCTTCATAACCCAAGAGAGTACCAGGCTGAACTGTTTAGGTACGCCATGCATGGAAACTCTCTGGTATTCCTTCCCACAGGATCTGGTAAAACACTGATAGCAGCAATGTCAATCAGTTGTATGAAGAAGCTTAATCCAGGAAAGCTTGCAGTGTTCATAGTGGACCGTATTCCACTCGCACATCAGCAAGGCGAATACATCAAAAACCAAGTGCCCTCTTTAACTGTAGGGATAATGGCTGGTGACGCCGCGTCCTCAGAAGCAAACAAGTCCAACTCTGAACGAACCATAAAAGGCCTTGCCGAGAACAAAATTGACGTGTTGGTCCTGACTCACCAATTGTTTCTTAACTTCTTAGCCGACCCAAATGGAGCAGTTCGTATGTCAGATGTTTGTCTTCTTGTCATAGACGAGGCTCATCGTTGTCAAGGTAACCATGTCTTCCATCAGATAATCCGAGATTATTACGTTAAAGTGAGCCCTGACAAGTATAAACCGTTAATACTCGCACTAACGGCTTCACCCGCTGGGGAGACTACTTTAGATGGCACGTTAAAGAACTTGGGTGGATTGCTTGGTAGACTATCTTGCTCTGCACGCATGCCAGTAACATCCGAAGATTTACAACTCTATGCTAATAAACCTGTGGCTTGTCACATAGTTATTCCTCTTTCTCAACTCCAACGAAGCCTTGAAGAGGCAGTTGTGAGCTACCTTAAAACTATTGACGCACGCTTGTTAAGGCATGTTCCAAATAGTACCATCAATGGAATGTCCCCTTTGGGACCTAATTACCGAGGTGCCCTGAGACAAATCATTTGCAAGTGCCACGAGGAGGAAAATACAGAGGGACATGCACTTGGAGAGATGGCCATGCATTTTATTGGGATCTTGGAGCTCAACAATGTACTGGGGTTCAAAGTCGCTATGGAATGCTTGCAGGAATGTTTTGAATTGATTGATAATGCATCTACTCCGATGGAAAGTCAGAAGAAAGACCTTGTTTGCAATGATTATAACTCTGATCATTTTAGATGTCAAATATTATCACTAAGCTTTTGTCGAGAAGTCGACCACGGGAAGTTTCCTCATCTTGTAAAAGAACTCAAATCATTTGCCCTTCGATGTCAAAACGATCCTTCCTCGCGAGGAATAGTTTTCGTTTACATGCGAAAAACAGCCTACAAGTTCTGCCAACGGCTCCAATCGTACCTGGAGATATCCAAAATACTAAAACCGAAGCCGTTTGTGGGACATGGTGATGGAGGCGATGGAATGGCATGGCTTGGGGAACAAGAACTCACCTTAAGGCAGTTCCGTTCTGGGGACACTAAGCTTCTAATCTCTACTAACGTGTTAGAAGAAGGATTAGATGTACCGATATGTAACTTGGTGATTCGGTTCGACACTTCACCGTCGTTGCGTTCCTTTGTTCAAAGTCGCGGAAGAGCGTCTCGTCGACCCGACAGCAAGTTTGTTGTTCTTTACAGTGATCCCAAGAAGCACGAAGAAGCAGCTCTTGTCGAAGAAAAAGAGAAAAACATGGAACTAGCTATGAGAATCCTCCATAACACTTCATATGCGTCTGTCTCGCAAGCAAATAAGTTCGTTTGTGAAGCAAGGAAACCGGAGGTCCCTGACCCCAATAAACCACCTGAACGCGTTCTACTTCAGGAAGAAGCGCATCTTCAATACACCGAAGTTAAAACCCCTTGTGTTCAGGTCGTAGCGCACACGATGCGATCAAGCACGACTCAAGAAATGCCACCAATCATTTCCTTCTTTAATAGCCAATTTGACGTAAAATCAATGGAACCGAGTGAAAATAAGATGAATTATATAAAAAGCGAAGAAGATGATGAATCTCCATCCTCGGGAGCGTACCGGTTTGAACTAGAATACCAACACGGGCAAAATTCATTTATCTTCATGGAAGAAGTTGCTAAATCTTGGTGCAGTCGCCCGGTCGGCCCAAACATCGTGCATTCCCAAGCTTGGTTGGAACTCCTGGATACAGGAAGAAGGAAACGAAATGAAGAAGTAGATGTTCTTTCGGCGGAGATGTTGTCCGTAGGGTACTTTCGCCATCCTACTAGTTTCTGCCAACATTGGCCTGACCCCCTAGGAACAGAGCTACGAAATATCCGTCTTTTGTTCCAACACGATCTTAACATGCTCTTGGTCTTCTTCACTATCACTGAAAATGGGCGGATGAATTTATATGAAGTTGAAATACCCTACACACAACTGGCAAGCTTTATTATCGTAGACAGAAAGGAGAAGTATGCCAATCTCTTTCTTTCCTTGAATACTACGCCAAGATTGTACATGTCAGAAGACAGCGGGTTGATGTGGGAGAAAATTATTCAAGACAGAGAAACTGGTTATTATTCTGGTGATGAATCTGACACTGAAGAAGGTAGCGATGATGAAGGATATCAGGTGGACTTAGTTAACGATGATGACAATGGCGATGTTGAAGTTAGCGCTGTTTATGATGCCGATGCTGATGATGACGACGACGATGATGATCGTCCTCACGATGAAAATATTATCCATACAGCCGCTACTTCTGAAGAGAATGATGGCCCCACCTTTTCACACCCGATACTGCGGGCTCTGAATTCCATCACAGAGTGGTTTCGAGTTTCGAGCGATAGCCAAGACGCATTTGGTCGGTGTTCAAACTACATGCTTAAAATCTCCAACACAGATCTTGATAAAGTTTATTCTGGCCTTAAGTCGTGTGGTAAAGATATATTTTTTGCCACAGTGAAAACCGAAAAAAGATCCTTACTTAGGCCCACAGAGGTGTACCTTCCACCTCGTTTGGACGAAGACATAAGATATGCTGTTCAGTGTTTGTTGGCTTACCATCCAGTGGTACTTGGCCGTATCACAGTCCTCAACTTTGGTCTTCTTCTATCGAGCAAACCTAAGAACACCGCTCTGGCCGCATTAGACAAACTTAGCAAAGTTCTTGACGAGGACATATTCTGTCAACCTGAACAGACGCTTGAAAAAATCCTTCAAGACCCAAATCTTCGTTGTCTACGCTTCACGCCTCAGTCAATTCCTGGTCATTGTGCTCTGGTCAAACGGTTGATAATTACACCAACCCGTCTCCTGTTCAGCCCAGAAGAAATCATGCAAAATAACCGGGTTCTGAGAAAATACTCTCCTAAAGACTTTGTCTGCGCGAACATCCGAGATGAAGATTACTCCAGGATTTCATCATCGAACTGCGATCTGAGCAAAGTACTTTTTCATATAAAGAACGTGCTTGACGAAGGAGTAGAGATTTGTGGAGAACGATATCTGTTTCTTGGTTGCTCTAACAGCCAGCTTCGTAGCCATAGCTGTTGGCTTGTCAAGTCTTCAACGAATCCAGGCGCCATTCGAGCTTGGATGGGAGACTTTTCGAAAATCAGGTTAGTCTTGCAACGCAATGTTGTTACTACCATTATACCACTTACACCAGTACCGCCAAACGACAACCATCATTATTACTACCGGCCTCCACCACTGCTACCACCACTACTACTACCACTACTACCACCACCGCCACCGCCACTACTACTGCTACTGCCACTAACACAACCACTACCACTAATACCACTACCACTAATACCACTACCACTAATACCACTACCACTACCACTACCGCTCCACTACCACTACCACTACCAACACCACTACCAACACCACTACCACTACCAA